GAATAGAGCTGCGCCATTACAGCTCGTACCTGCTAAAAACATCTGTTTTGGTTCTGATTATCATGTTTATGGTAGGGATGCGCCGATCTGATATTCATATCCGGGTATCGGCTCCGATAGTACCATTTTTCTCGGATCGGGTATCGGTCAGTGAGGACCGATCCAAATCCGAGATTTTTTTTTTTTTTTATGAGTTTAAACTTCTGATATACGGTTTTCTGAGCGCACACATCTGAAGCACACGCACAGAAAGCGGCTGTTGCTCAAACTTTCTCCATGGCATTAGAACTAGTACACCGTTGTCGCTTGCGAAAACACAATAACGGCGCCATTGTTGGAAACTTACAGATTAAGGGGCGGTAATATTATAATGAGATCTTTGCCGCGTCACCAAGGGAGCGAAATCAGACGCGCTGGTTTTCTCAGACGCTTGCAGAAAAAGGCTTACCAAAACAAAGTTACTGGGTTCATCTTTTTGACGTTTGCTTGGTTGGTAGATGCACCGGAGACCTGATTATAGCACTTACAAACTGGAAAAGTCAGATTTTCATTATATGTCACCTTTAAAATAAAAATCCATATTCGAATGCAAAAACGTTGCATTCGTTGCTGCTACGTTGTTCATTCAAAATATTGCGGAAAAAGAGAACATCAATGCGGAGATGTTGTTTACGGTAAAAATGAAGCCAAGCCGTTCACACAGAACGCATAGGCCTATTTATCAGTGCTGCACTCGCGTCTCGCATGTTTAGAAAGCCATGTAAAATTAACGCAAGTTAAACTTTTAAAAAACACGTCTCGAGACTTTACGGCGGTTTTCACCATCCCACTGCAACTCGTGTTTTTAAATGAAAAAAGTACTCTGGTTTATGGCCCTTTGTATTAAACTATACATGCATGATGCTATTTTGTTTCGAATTGTTTAAGCAACTTAATTAATTATATATGGTTTATAAACATTATTTTAAACATTATTAATTTATTTTTCAAAGATAGTCGTGTTATTTTATTGCTTTGAAGAAAAGTGCATTAGTAATATTTCGCTCGATGCACCCTCAAGCCAAAAGCTTGTTTCCCCTCTAACTGAAATTATGCCTTTTAAATTCGAATATAATACGAATATTGATAATATGAGTAGAAAATTCGAATTTAGTTTTTCAGCCATTTCGACAGCCCTAGTGTCCAGTTAATATCTCATAACTCCTACTTCACGCAGTTTCACAAATTTTGCATTTTTACAAATTTTAACTTTTAAAACTTTATAAAAATGTAAAACTTTTTTTCAAGTTTAGATTAAAAAAAAATATTTTAAATGTGGTCTCAGACTTCTATATCCACTGTATATTTTATATAACTATAGATATATATGCAATAAATGCGTCGACAAAAATGGTCAAATATTTCTAACGGGTTAACTGACGAGTAAACATCTAAATTAGAAAAAAGATCAAAACAAATATTAGCCTATTAGTTATTAATTTAAACTGGGAAATGTTTTCATATTAATATTTCCGATTGATAAATCTGATGTTTGCATTCTGATTTAGAACAACGTTATTTTCGTATAGTTTATATTTTTATAGATTTACAGTTTCTATACTTTCAGTTTTTATTTTAAGTTCAATGTTTGTAATTTTGTTATGTGATTTTTGTCATTTTGCTTTTTTATATATCACGATGTAGGTTTAATAAATTTTTTTTATCTAATATTAATATTTAAATAAAAAAAATAAATTTTTTAATAGTAAAATGTATTAAAATAGCATAAATGTATTAAAATTGATAATTTGGATGATTGTATTCACATTGATAAATGTAGTCCGATTGCTCATTCAGATTCATAAATCTGATTAATGAATTACAATTCATAAATAAGAATATAGTTGAGATGATACAAATAACGGATACATTAGATACATGTATACAAATTGATAAATCAAAGATTTTTTCAAATCTATTAAATCAGATACATGTGTTCAGAATGATAACTCATATCGAGAAATGTATTCGGAATGCTCAAATGCAATATTCAGATTCACAAATCAGATGAATTTATTCAAATTAATAAATCACATGTTTGTATTTAGATTAATAATTCAGATTGAGAAATGCATTCAGATACACGCATTCGGATTCAGAAATCGGAAAAATGCATCATAAATCATTTAGATTGCTTCAGATTGATAAATTAGATATACTTCAAATCAAATTAATTAGTCAGATGTTTGTTTACAGATGAATAAACGAGGCGGGAGCGTGTCAGAGCGGGACACTCCCAAGCGCTCAGGCCAGCTCACTCCCAAACTACACCCAGCCACAGAAACAAGAGAAGACTCGCAACAGGGAATATATCGATCGCACACGTACCATCTGTCGAACCACATCAGAAGAAGCCATTTGCGCGCAGAAAACAGCGAATATTTGAGGAAAAATTGGATCGCTTTCGGATGAAAGTCAAAAGTTGCCTCGTCCAATAATTTCCAGCTGACACGCCACTGGGAATAGCTCTACCATTCCAGCGTCTCCGAGAGGGGTTTCTGTGAAGCTCAAGTCGACAAAGTATAACGACTTCAAATGTCAAATACATCAGCGAGCACTTTCGTTACGCTACACGTCTGTTTAACCCGAGTGAACGCTATAACTCATGCTAGGTTTCATTAATTAAAACCTCTAACGCTCAATGGAGTTCCAACCCCCTTGTCCCGGCAAAGTGGAACCTTCCAACCAGGTGTAACTGGAATCCATTTTGGCTCAAGACGGAGCCGCTTCCCGCGTTAACGCAGGGCGCGTTTGAGCCCAAATGAACGCCGCTGTACTCCAGTTTCTCACTCGTGATTCTGTCCTGCAACTAGAGTTGCTAGGACGCAAACATCATCTTTATAAACTCTACCGACCCCTATGTGACACACTCAGTACTCAATCTCATCCACAGCCTAGTTTTAATAAAACGAGACGCGATGTGTTCTTCAGCGCACAGACTAACGATAAATAGACCTGTCAAAACGACGCAGGGGCATTAGCCGCTGATTTGTGCATTCGCTTATTTATTACTATTATTGATATTATCATAAAGCGTGATATAATGGCGACGGAGTGCACGCAGGAATCTGTCCTGGACTTTCTACTGGAAAATGGGGGGCGTGTGAAAAACAAGGACTTGGTCGCGCATTTTAAAGTCTTTCTGAGCAGCGAAAATGCGAAGCGGGCCGTGCTAAAAGAGAGATTTAAGCGTTTTGTGGACAATATCGCCTCCGTGAAGCAAGAACACGGGGAGAAAGTGGTGTGTTTGAAGAAGAAGTACAGATACCCGGAGATGCGCGCGCAGGATGAGAAGCCCGATGATGAGGATGATGATGATGAAGACATCAACAGAGGAATCAATGCATTGCACTTTGAAAAGAACGTCAACATGCATGAAGAAATCAGTGATCTGAATCCTAAATCAGAGGAGGGGAAGGCTGTGAGAGATGCTGAGGCGGAGCTGAGTGTGTCTGACATCGCACTGATTGAGAAAGACTGTGAGCTCTCAGATGCAAAGGATAATGACACTGTGCATGGAAATGATGTAATGCAACCAAATGCTCCTGGGCTCTCTAATGCTCAGCCAACAGGAGAAGCGGAGCTGGAGGCTGGAGTTGGCAGAGCTTCTGTCACGCCACAGGTCATCATCAGTAGACGGAGAACATCGAGGGGATCTCAGCGGAGTCTGCTGGGCTCTTCTGAGGATGGAGCACATGAGGCACCGGCTGAGGATGGCAGCACCCCAAAATGCAGCCGCAAGAACTTCATAGAGCTCATGATGAGCAGTTCTCCACAGGTGGGACAGGTGCAAATGCACATACAGGAATGTAATGCATGTAATAATAATAATGGAAATACACATAATCCATATAAGCACATAACGCATATAATGTATAATGCACATAATGCATATAATATCAAATCCACATTATACATATATAATGGAAAAACACATAATGCACATAGTGCAAATGCACATTATGCTCATAATGCATTTAATATATAATCGAGGTGCACATTATGCATATAATATATATAATGCAAAATCACATAATGCATATAATATATAGTGCAAAATCATGTAATGCTTATAATATATAATGCATGTGCACATAATGCATGTAATAAATAATGCAAAATCATATGATGCATCTAACAATGATTATGCTTATAATGCATATAATCCAAGTGCACGTTATGCATATAATATATAATGCAAAATCACATAATGCATATGATATATAATCCAAATGGACATAATACATATGATATATAATGCATATGATATATAATGCATATGCACATAATGCATGTAATAATAATGATTATGCTTATAATGCATATAATGTATAATGCAAAAGCACATAATGCTTATAATGCATGTGCACATAATGCATACAATAAATAATGCAAAATCATATAATGCATGTAACAATGATTATGCTTATAATGCATATAATCCAAGTGCATGTTATGCATATAATATATAATGCAAAATCACATAATGCATATAATATATAATCCAAATGGACATAATACATATGATATATAATGCATATGCACATAATGCATGTAATAAATAATACAACATCATATAATGCAAGTAATAAGGATTATGCTTATAATGCCTATAATATATAATGCATATGCACATAATACATATAATATGTAATCCAAAAGTACATAGTGTATATAATATATATTCCAAATGCATATAATAAATAATGCAAAATCACATCATTTATTTATGATGCATATGCACATAATGAATGTATTAATGCACGTGATGCATATAATATATAATCCAAATACACATTATGCATATAATGTATATTGCAAAATCACATAATGCATGTAATAATAATTATGCATATTATGCATATAATATGTAATCCAAATGCACATTATGCATATAATATATATTGCAAAATCACATAATGCATATAATATATAATCCAAATGTACGTAATACATATATATTCCAAATGCAAATCATATAATGCATATATGGTGCATATGCTCATAATGCATATAATAAATATTATGCCCATTATGCATATAGTATATAATGCAAAATCACATAATGCATATAATATATAATCCAAATGTACGTAATACATATATATTCCAAATGCAAATCATATAATGCATATATGGTGCATATGCTCATAATGCATATAATAAATATTATGCCCATTATGCAGATGTGGATGTGCGGGATTACAGCGGGAAGAAAGCAGCGCAGTATCTCCGATCCAGCGTCACATGCGACATCAAGGACATCATAGGAGCTTGTGCGAACTCTGACGCAGAGAACGCATCTGGAGCCGGGCGATGGAAGCTTCCTAAAGTCCTGCAGTCCAACCTCAACCCCCTACGGTTACTGAACCACCCTGAAGAGATGATGGCCGATGCTCAGCCCAGGCCCAGGTCTCTGTATCGGAAATCCTCCATCAGTCGCATCAGACTGCAGAGGAACCGCTTCAAGACGCAGATCGTCCACAGCACTTCGTTCAGAGAGAACGAGGAAGGCGAGGAGTCGCTCAAGAGCCCAGTCAAATCCAGACCCTTGTCCAATCTGTTTGGCTGAGACGGAAATGTGAATAATAGAGTCCTATGCAAAAACATTGTTACTCTGAGATCAGCTGAGCTGCTTGTTTACTAAGTGGTTCAAACTCATTTTCTAAAAAAGAAAAAAAAAATTGAAAATAAATAAATAAAAATTTAATTGAAAATAAAATACAAAATTAATTATCTAAATAAATCCAAATGATGTTTGATCAAAATATTCAAATAAAGAAATTAGGAAAAATATATAAAAAAATAGGTTAAAATAAATAATGCATCTAACAGTACTATAGTGAGTAGAAATAAAGGTACATTTTACAATAAGGTTTCATGGAAGCTTCCTAAAGTCCTGCAGTCCAACCTCAACCCCCTACGGTTACTGAACCACCCTGAAGAGATGATGGCCGATGCTCAGCCCAGGCCCAGGTCTCTGTATCGGAAATCCTCCATCAGCCGCATCAGACTGCAGAGGAACCGCTTCAAGACGCAGATCGTCCACAGCACTTCGTTCAGAGAGAACGAGGAAGGCGAGGAGTCGCTCAAGAGCCCAGTCAAATCCAGACCCTTGTCCAATCTGTTTGGCTGAGACGGAAATGTGAATAATAGAGTCCTATGCAAAGACATTGTTACTCTGAGATCAGCTGAGCTGCTTGTTTACTGCGTGGTTCAAACTCATTTTCTAAAAAAGACAAAAAAAATTGAAAATAAATAAATAAAAATTTAATTGAAAATAAAATACAAAATTAATTATCTAAATAAATCCAAATGATGTTTGATCAAAATATTCAAATAAAGAAATTAGGAAAAATATATAAAAAAATAGGTTAAAATAAATAATGCATCTAACAGTACTATAGTGAGTAGAAATAAAGGTACATTTTACAATAAGGTTTCGTTTGTGAACAATACTTCTACAGCATTTATTAGTCTTAAAGTTAATTTCATCATTTACTAATACATTTTCAAATTAAAAGTTGTATTTGTTAACATTAATTAATGCACTGAACTAACATGAACAAACAGTTGTATACAGTTATATATATATATATATATATATATATATCATTGTTAGTTCATGTTAGTTAACATGAAATAATGGTAGTTTTAAAACAAAAGAAGCACAATCATGTAATAGAAACTAAATGTTTTACACATATTTATAATATTGATTTTTCACAGTTTAAATTGGATCTTTATACATGAAAATATATACAGTAGCTGCTTTTTACATTTTTAGGTTGGACGAGGATGAGCAAATGGAACCAATTTTAATGCAATCATCTCTTTTATAAAAATTATGCACAGCTATTTTATTACAAACGATGCTCTAAAAACACGTAGATGTAATGTAGGTTATTTTTTAATTGATATTTCCACGTATGCACTTTTGCGTGTCATGATCGTCCTGCTCTCTCGTTTCAGTTGCTGTGCCTTTAACGATGGTCCTCCAGATGCAGGAATGATCGTGTATTGAGACTGTTATGATTATCCTGCAAATGTGATTTCAGTGTGTTTACGTGCTGCGGGTGGTTTAAAAAGCTGCTGTTTGGATGGTTTAAGACGAAGTCTAGTCCCACGACCAGAACGGAACAGTTCACCCGAAACACTGCAAGTGAATGGGTGCCGTCAGAACGAGAGCTGATCAATAAAATAAAACATCACAATAATCCACAGCACTCCAGTCCATCAGGAGAAGACAAAAGCTGAAACAAATCCAGCATTAAGACATAATGTGCATAATTACTTCAATTTTGGGGTGAACTGTTCCTTTAATAACCCATGAGCCATTACAGTGGCAATGCACTTTCAGCTGATCAAATTTACTAAGCTATAGCTTTGTTTTTGGAGCTTCTAATCACTAATTACTAGCGATCACAAATATTAAAACACTAATCCCAAATGTGCATTCTCAGTAACTCCCAATAAAGTGCCTTCATTGGTAACGAAACAGTCATTTTAGGCACTTGCTGTAGATTAATAATATTCTAAATGTGCTCAGTGTTTTATACACAAGGTTCATACAAACTGTTGAAACCAATGGGATGTTTACGTTTCCTGAGAGGTGTTTGCTGTTGCTATGCAGTTGCTAGGGTGTTCCAGCTGGTTGCTAGGCGATGTGGTAGCATCTCTGTGATAAAGTTTTGACCAGAGCATATGAGTAATGATTCCTGACTTGGCAATCAGCGCTAATTAACTTCTGCTCTTAAATTACAGTCGTTAACCATCTGCTGTCAGTGCATTATTTATTTGACATCAACTATCTGATGCGAACATGCTCAGGAAGCACTACACTTTCCTAGCTGGGGTCTGGATTGTGTGGAAACTGAGTGTTTTGTTCTGTTCATCCTGTCAGAGTGTAGTTTTGTTCAGTTTGGTGTCACACACAAATTCATTTCTTTTCTTTCTCATGAAATCCGTCACACTGGTAATCTGCTGTAAAGCATCACTGATGAAAACATGCATTGGTCTTTGCTTTATCAACAATAAATTGGGCACTTGGAATAAAGAGTGTCATGTTATTGGGTCTATGTCATGCTACTAATGCTTTGAGATGCAGACAGAAAACAGAGTTCCGTACTTTCTTCAAACGAGCAGGTTTATGCTCTGGATTTCTGTTTTTGCTCCAGAGATTTACTAGAGATTAACATTGTTTCCAGAGCTGCTTAATAACGTTATTGTCTGACGTCAACAAACTGATTAGCAAACCACTTATTTTTATAAATTCAAAGTAAAATAACCATATACTGCATCTGTCGTAAATAAGAGGAAATATTATAATAATTTATCAATAAGAGCAATTTTCTGGCCTGTAAGATAAAGCAGATTTTTGTTTGTTTCTAGTTTTAAAGAATAGATTATAAGAACTTATTTGGGTCTCTTTAATAATTTTTTTTTAAATGTACGTTAAGAGGTTCTCTAATTTTTTCCACCCAAATATTTTATTTTACTTTATTAAAATAAATAAATAAATAATTTATTATATTGCAAATGCAGTTAAGCTGCAAGTAAAACATTCAGTATATAATAGATCAGAATTACTCATATATAAGATTATGTAGAATTATTTTAAGAAATAATTAAGGATAGTTTAACAGTTTATTTGTGTCTTTAATAATTTTATTAATTTTATGTTAAGAAGTTACAGGATTTCTCTATTGTTTTCCACCCAACTATTTTACATAATTGAATTTAATTTTATTTAATTGTATTTTTATTTAATTTAATTTTAATTTAATTTATTTTAATTTAATTTAATTTAATTTAATTTTAATTTCATTTCATTTTATTTTATTTGTTATATTAGAATTATTGCATCCTGATCTGAGAGAAGCTTTATCATATGACATTAACAAAGTTAGTGTGTCATGAAAAATTTAAATCAGACTAAACCCATTGTTTTTAAACACGCAGTAATTTTGCGGCCGAGCTGCAGATCAAACAGTGACCGCTTGAGGGCAGCAGAGCTTCTCGGTGACTTCCGGTTGCTGTGTGACGGATGCGGAAGCGGTCAGCGGCGTAAGGTCCGTTTGTTTCAGCTGTGCGCGGTCTGCTGTCGTTATTGATGCTTCAGACCAAACTCTTCAGAGAGGTTAGTAAACGCTCACTTGTGCTAATCTCAGCTAGTAACACTAGTTTAGCTTCACAGATCAATAACTCCTCGATAATCTTAAATATCGCTATTATTTCTCGACCAGAGCCACTGAGGAGCTCTTAATTATCATCAGTATATCACCAGATTTACCTCAGAACACCGCACTTATTACTGTAGTATAATCATAACCAGTCTCGCTGACACATATCAGCTAACACATGTATTTAATCATTTATTTGGTGTTTTTGTCGTTTTTTAAATATGTTTGTTTAGTTTTTATATATTTTATGGTTTGAGTTCAGTGTTTTCAGTATCTTAGAACTTTAACAAACTAAATGAAAATCAGTGAAATATTTATTTATATATTTATCTTTTTCAGTTTGATTTTATTTCAGTTTTTTTATTTCGGTTTAATTTATTACATTTAATGTCAGCGAATTTAAATCATTTCCGTAATTATTATTTTTTGTATTAATTTTTTTATTTGCTTTGAATATGTCTTTTTAATTTTTATTATTTGTATTTGTTTAGTTATTTTCAAGTTTGTTCATTTTACTTCTTTAAACTAAACTAAAATAAGAGATGTGTTGCCTTGCCGACTAAGTGAAATATTTACTGAGAGCATAACGTACATTTATATTTTAGTAAACAATTTGTTTTATTTTCATTAATGTAAATGTATTTTAACCATGTTTTTCAAGTTTTGTCTGTCTGTCTGTTTGTTCATTTATTGTTTTTAATTGAGTTTTAGTTATTTCCAGTTTTGGTAATTCTATAATTGTCTTGCTAGCTAACAGAAATATTTACTGAAAGTTTTTATTTTATTATTTTTTTTGGTTAAAATTGATTTTATTTCATTTACTGTCAATGCTTTTTAATCATTTTAGTTTTAGTTAACGATAATACGACTGATTCAGATTAATGCGGGGTCAATGTGGAGTTGTTTATTCTTTAATAACAATAAACAATGAACCCGATATTTCTTCAAATAGCTTTACAATTGAAGAGTTTATTTGCAAAAACAGATAACTCAGTTTTTAACAATTTTCAAAAAATCATGTTTTTTAAGAATGTTATCTTGTTTTTATTGCGTTTTATTGTTAGTTACCATATTAGCCATATGTGACCCTGCAGCACAAAACCAGTCATAAGGGTCAATTTTTTGTAAATTAAGATGTATGCATCATCTGAAAGCTGAATAAATAATCTTTCCATTGATGTATGGTTTGTTAGGATAGGACAATATTTGGCCGAGATACAACTATTTGAAAATCTGGAATCTGAGGGAGCAAAAAAATCCAAATATTGAGAAAATCATCTTTAAAGTTGCTCAAATGAAGTTCTTAGCAATGCATATTACTAATCAAAAATTAAGTTTTGATATATTTACGGTAGGAAATTTACAAAATATCTTCATGGAACATGATCTTTACTTAATATCCTAATGATTTTTGGCATAAAAGGAAAATGTATAATTTTGACCCATACAATGTATTGTTGGCTATTGCTACAAATATACCCCAGCGACTTAAGACTGCTAGCAATGCATATTACTAATCAAAAATTAAGTTTTGATATATTTACGGTAGGAAATTTACAAAATATCTTCATGGAACATGATCTTTACTTAATATCCTAATGATTTTTGGCATAAAAGGAAAATGTATAATTTTGACCCATACAATGTATTGTTGGCTATTGCTACAAATATACCCCAGCGACTTGAGCCTGCTTTTGTGCTCCAGGGTCACATATCAGTGATAGTAGCAATTTTTTTTTGTTGTTTTTCAAAATAACCCGACTGCAGTTTGATTGAGATTAATGCACAATGAAAAAACATGATTTTTGCAAATGAACTCTTCACACAAACTTGTGCATGTGTTTGTGCGCAGCGTTCAGCAGAAGCGCCTCCAGAATGACGTCTGTGGTGAGCGACACGGCCGAGGCGGTGGATCTGTGTCCCGAGTTCAGTCTCTACCTCAAACACATCTCCAGAATCACGGTCAGCGTGGCTCTGCCGCACCTCAAGACGCCCGGCAAGTCCATCTCTAACTGGGAGGTGATGGAGCGGCTGAAGGCCATGGTGCATCCGGAGCAGTTCTCCTCGCTGCGCATCTCCAAGAGCAGCATGGACTTCCTCCGCTTCGAGGGCGAGGTGGAGAACCGGAGCGCCGTCAAGCGCTCGCTGGCCAAGCTGGAGGGCAAGAGCATCAAGCTCAGCGGCTTCACAGACGTCCTGAAGATCCGCGCCGTCGAGCACAAAGCAGACTTCCCCACACGCCACGACTGGGACTCCTTCTTCAGAGACGCCAGGGACATGAACGAGACGGTTCCCGGAGAACGGCCCGACACCATTCATCTGGAGGGGCTGCCGTGCAAGTGGTTCTCCGTGAAGGTAGGGTTTTGACGAGGAGGAAGTTTTCCCACCGGTTAATGAACGTGTGATGACACCCTTACATTTAGTCATTTAGACTTACAAATGAGGACAACAGAAGCAATCCAAACCAGCAAAAGAGCAATGATACGCAAGTGCTGTGACAAGGCTCGGTTAGCTTAACGCAGTACACATAGCAAGGGTTTTTATTTATTTATTTATTTTTACACACACACACACACACACTCTCACACAGACACCTCACACAGACACTCTCTCACACACACACACACACACACACACACACAC